CTTAATTTCTTTACCAGTTAAAGGTTCATCAAAAACAACAAACTAATAGACGTAAATATAGCCATTTACAAAATCAGTACAGATTTGTGCGTATTGAACTCAGCTCGTTAAATGGATAGTTTCAACGACTTAGCGCGCAATCACAAAGTTCCAAAACTGCCAAACCGTCTGGGCCAGCCGCGAAGAAGATTTCATTACCATATCACATGTAGGAACACACGGTAGGAGTACTGTAACAAACAGGGCACATTCGTGAGTCAGCATAAGTCCACTTCTGGACCTAAGTGCCTCCAAAGCACGATATCCAGCTGTTCTCATTCTGCCACTTCCAGCCATATTTTTAACGTCATTGGCATAAGTTAAGTCTAATAAAGTCAGAAGTAAAATATCGGTAAAGACTAGCTCAAAGGCTTTTAACTTTCAGGTTACTAATTTTTTTTAATGACCTATCAATTTTAGTGTCAGTACCCTAACAAGGGTCTGCTTATTTTATCACATTATAATTTATATTACCTAATAAAATATCAGAATGTTCGTATTTCTTCAGCCCATAATTATCAGTAACCGGCTTCGAAATTAACCCACCAATGCATATTACGTCACAGATAGCCGTGCGAATATTTACTGCTGAAGAATCACCTATATGTACTTGTACAAAATGCTTTCCTTAAGCTCGTTAATTATCAATTTTTCACTTCGAGTAAATTGAAGGAGTTATTCAAGCAAACCCAGCCTGATTTTTTCCGAGCCTTTAATTGGCCTCTCACCGCGACGAAAAAAGTTGGGCAATAAAACTTCTAGACCTCTTAAGTGTTCTATACAAAGCTTGAGGAATCCTGAGAGTCGTCCCTTTGAAATACTATCTCGTTAAGGTCTTAAGTTACATAACCCCCTTACTCTTTGTAACTTTATCGCTCCAACTTACCTAACAAAAGACTGGCCGCAAGTTCACTTAACACTTCTTGACAGTTACGGCGGAAAATTTTAAGTTGGTGTCGACGGAGCTGTTAATCAATAAACAATTTTCCGGTGATATTGCAGGGAGGCTTGTTTTTACTAAAATTCTGATTTGATATTATGAGTCTACAGAGGTGTAAAGGATAGAGACTTGATGAAGGAGTCTTGACGTGAATTTTATAACATACATTATATAACAGACAAAGTGATGGTTGTATACGCTTTAATTGGTTGGGACGAGTATCACATACGCGCCCTTTCAAAATAAAATCTTTAACTCTTAATCAATGGTTAATTTTATCACTCTACTTTGAAATGTGCGATTTTATTTACATCAACAATAAGTAAAACTCTTGGCCTGCATCTTATCTGATGGAAATATGATAATAGGACAATTCCTTCATCAAGTATTTGGCTGTTTAAAGTTGCAATCTTAAATCATTGGTTACTTCATTTTCCAGGTATAGGTACATACCACAGCGGGAAAGGTCTTGGAAAATAATTTTGGGATAATTTGTCAAAAACTTAATTTTAAATAGTTCGTTTGTTTTGCCCTTTCTTCGCCAAAGGCACTTGCTTACAAGTACGTCTATATTGACAAATGCAGGAGAGACCTTATCCGCGACTACCGGGCTTTTATCCATTGGATGCGCGCCAGGCATCGGCTCGAGTCTAGTGCCCTCGTGCCATTGAGAACTACTCGGTGACATTTTCTACGACGCTCCCGTTCGATGCCTTTACTACACTGATATTTGAGATGTCAATAGATGCAACGAGAGTACACCTGTTTTACCTCTTTATCGTTTCGTTAGATTTGGTAGGAGTGATGCCTGTAAAATTGTTAAAAATTTATTTGGCCAACTCTAGTCTAGTGCTCTTGTGCCATAGAGAACTACCTGGCGACATATTTCTACGACGCTCCCGTTCGATGCTTTTACTGTACTGATGTTTGAGATGTCAATAGATGCAACGAGAGGACACCTCTTTATCCTTGTGTTAGATTTGGTAGGAGTGATGCCTGCAAAAGTGTTAAAAACTAATTTAGCCAAGTCTAGTCTAGTGCTCTTGTGCCATAAAGAACTACTTGGCGACATATTTCTACGACGCTCCTGTTCAATTATTTCAGTGAAAAATAAAGTTTTTAAATAATTTCGTATGAAAAAATAAGTCGAAAAAAATTGTTGAATTTAACAAAAAATGTAATGCTATTCCATTCTTTGAAGTTGTCTTATTACCCTAGAGTTCCAGGAAATCAAAAAGAGCACGTTGTATAATCTGTATCCATATAATTACATTATGTTCATGATGACCATAATTTATGTTTTCAAAGACTAATTTCCATATTTTCAGAGAATAATTCCATTACTTTTGTTCTATTCATTTCTATTCATTGCGTTTGTGCATCACGAGGTCTACAAATTCTAACTTCTACATCTCTTTGAACCAGTCAGGAATTGGCATTCAAAAACGCCAGCCAGAAAAATGGGTACAAAGAACACGACATACAGCGGTTGTCAAATTGTAAATTCCAGTGGTCCGTCCCTTCGCTCTTTGATTGCTGCAGTTTGTTCCTGGTCGAGTTAGGGTCTCACCACACGATTCCAGCATTTGCGATGCTCAGTGGTGCGTAAAAAAAAACAGTAAAAGTCACTATATATAAAACCATTATAAATGCCTGTTAAATGTTTCGATGCCCAGTAAAATTAGTAAAAATATGTCTTCTGAATTTGATTGCTACTAAAGGAATATGCTGGAAATAAAAATTGTACTAAAATATCGTATTTTGTTTTATATTACATAACTAGCTTTCCGCCCGCGGCTTCGCCCGCGTGCAATTTTGTCTGTCACAGAAAAACAATATCGCGCGCGTATTTGCTCACCGTTTAGACCTACCCTGGACTACGACAAACATTTTAAAACCAAAATCAGCTCAATCGGCCCAGCCGTTCTCGAGTTTTAATCAGACTAACGAACATCAATTCATTTTTATTTATATAGATATAGATATAATACGTTTATAACATCATAATATTAACAAACCAGGTACCTAGTAATATTTTTTGAATCCAAGAGTGAAATTAAATACATTTTACCAAAAAAATGGCTTAAAAGGAAGAGAGCCGCAAAATAAACAGCACTTTAATTAGCACTTTTCATTTATTCATGGAGAAGCAAAAGGCGGCAATGTTTCATCAATTATCCATTTGCAATGAAATACACCATTGCAATATCACTTTACCTTAAATGATTACATTATCCAGTCAGTTTTTTATTTTAAGGAAATGCTTTAACGCAATTAATCCAATCAAATAAGTATAGTTCTTTATGATAAGTCCAAATGGGCTTGAAATTGTGATTACAAAATTCGGTCTGTAGTTGTAGAGTTTAGATATTAGGTATTACGGTATATCTACCGACAAGATTCGTTTGTAATTCACGGATAACAAAAGCTTAGACTAATAAATCTTCTTCTCTCTTTCTGGAAAATTCATGATTTTCCTCGCATTTTCAATACACCCCAGTTGATAAATACCGCGAAATAATTCTATCTTATCTATACAAAAAAATACGAAAGGTCACTGACTCACTCACTCATCACGAAATCTCGGAAACTACAAGTGCTACAAGTCTAAAATTTTGCATAGGGTTTCCTTTTAGAACATAGGTGCTCACTAAGACGGGATTTTGCAAAATTCAACGGGGTCCACGCGCACGAAGTACGGGCGGTCGCTTTTTGTTGGATAAAATTAATAATGTTATCTTGTCACCGCTGAAACACTAGTTGTGTAGTGAAACAAAGAGACAAAATACAATTTAGTGTATCACTAGCTAGCCAAATTATAGAATTACAAATAGGTAGTCGGCCCTCAACGTTCACGAATATTGAAGTAGGCGCTAGTCTCGTTTTTCACCATTTTCTTACTTCAGTCAGTTCATTCACAAACTGTTACCCAACCTTCGTCAGCTTTGTGTTATTACTATTTTTAGGAGAAAATTTACCCAATAACATCCCGTAACAGATGTTACAAAGTAAGGTTTATAAATAACTCTACCCTGTACATTACAGAGCCTAAATCTTAAAACTTGTACAGTTGAGTTGGCGACGCAAGAAAATGATAACTGTTCAAGCGTCTGTAAAAATTGACGTTAACACCAAACTTCTTGCAACTCTACCAACAAAAGTAAATCAAGGGCATATAATATAGCTGTTCTAGATGCTAGTTGTATCTCTGCCCTTATTGAGGGACGTCAAAGGGCGAAATAATCGCGGCGTGAATAATGAAAAGACAATTTGCGTTGACTACGCGAATCCTCGCGAGTTCAACGGACGGCGAGTGCGTGCGGCCGGCCGCGCGGGTACTCGCCCATCTCATGGATGGTTTACCTACGAGTATGTTCTGTATGTTTATTTTAACAGAGAACTAAAACATTTTAAAAAAATGCCCAAAAATTAACATTGAAATAACCTTTACTAAAGATGTATTGTTTAAAATACAATAGTCTTACCTCCAGTGCCAAATAATGGTGTTAATTCTTTTTTTTAGTATTTCACTATTTTTTTCTTTTTTCTTTCGTGATGGGATTGCTACAAATAAAGTGAGTCTAGACATTCGTTTAACACGTTATTAAAATTCTTAGCCTGAGATGCACCATCTTACTTTAACTTTGACAAACGTTAAAAGTCTATCAAACTCCATATAAAAAACACCATATACTCTTAAAGTTAGGTGTTGCAACTCGGCCTTAACCTCTGAATCATAACTGTAGCACTTTTTAACAAGTACTGTCTAAAATTAAAAAAATATGACTAAATAAGTTCTCCTAATAAATGTATTGTAAAGCTATAAGTAAAGTCTTATGTACTTTTTTCAATTAATGTAATATCAAAGTCTAGCAGTTACTTAATAAGTAATGAACTAATATTAAATTAAATTCAAAACAAATCATCCCAGTGGATGGTCACCAACTCGGCTGGGTGTCGGCGCGCAGGCGCGCTGAGACCCCTGCGCTCGTCCCGCCAGCCTGACGTCGCAGCCCGCGCGGGAGGCCGCTCGCACCCAGCCCGCTCGCCGAAACTCGAACACAAATCGATACCCGCCCGCTCAAATCACTCGATCCCACACACGTGACGATTATCATCATAAAACAAACAAAAGACAATCGCCAAACATGTAGCAACTTCACACTCCCGCCACTAATTGCACCGCAAACGTACGCCAGCGAAAAATGAACGCCGTGACAAGTGAATGTGAACTGTGTTTTGTATACGCAATGCCAAGTTAATTAGTGATTAATGCCTGTGCCCGCTTTTAGAGGCTTCTGACGGCGTGGAAGTGCCGATACCTAGCAGGTTGGGTAACTTTACATTCAGTTTTAATGATAAAAAGCAGTAATTTACTCGTCTATTATTATTTTTATAACAATCTTCGGTAATTTATTTTAGGAGCAATTTGGCTAACGCTGCTCAGTGCCAGTTTACTAATTATATCTTTAAAGATTCTGAAATTATGTAAATGAGATGTAACATCAAACATAGAAAATTAATTATAATTCTGGAATACTTACGATAAGTAAATACCGTTTAAATAGTCATTACTTACATAACGGAGAAGTCTTGTAGAGATAGAAATTCCACGATAAGTTTCCTCATTTATAAAAATACATAGGTTTCAGCTGATAGCTCTTGTTTCTAACAATAACAATTGAACTCACGACTCTACGTAAATGGGATGAATGAAGAATAGTACAGTGGTCAGGCCTAGTCAGGCAGAATTTTTGTTGTTTATGAATAGAGACAAAATTATTCATATAATATTGAACTCTACATCTCTACCCTACATTTTTAACGCACCTTATTAGCACCCAACTACAACTAAATCCGTATTTTATTATTATACCTACGTTTTGCCTCCTAGTTAACAGAAGCGGGTTTTCGCTAAATGCTAATACCAAGATGAGACACCAACAACCATCTGAAATACTTTTTTATGATCTGTCCAATCAGTGATTAAGCCAACAGGCATTATTATAAATGATAGTTCCATTAGAACAAATTGAAAACAACAAATACAAGGCCTAATTAAACGAAATTTTACACTTAGTATGTATGTTCTAATGAAGTGAATTGTTATTCATTAAAAGTCATCGTCAAAGAATAAATTCTCACAATCCTTTCTGCCATCTGACTCTGTTTACTAACCAATTAAATAAACCAATACTCGTATTTTAAAGGAAAATCATAAGTAAAAGAGCTTTTCCGAACCCTGAAAATTTAATTACTTTTTATGCTATTTCTATTTGATTTCAAATTCACCAAATAACTCAGTGAAATGTGACGATATCATTTCCGATTTCTAAATCTATTAGGGAACACCTTCTTCAACTCATAAGAAAGTATGTCGATTGATTGGTGGTGTCGTCTATCCTGTTGACCTTGATCTATAAAAAAGATTCACCTAATGTTACAGACACAGTCGACAGCACATAATATTATTGCGAAATCGCTCTTATTATTATCAGCATAAGACCAAAGAGTGCTTAGCGTGATGTCGTCTGTTTCTTACCTACATTAAAGCCTAGATAGATAGTCTGAAACAAACGTTTCGTCAAAATGAGGCAAAATTGTCATTACTGTCAAATCTTATGTCATTACTGTCAAAACGTTAAGACGTTTTAATTAGGGCGATTTTTTCTACATTCAGATGTTTGTATCAACATTTATCGTAATAAAATGTTATTATTTGATATTTAATAAGACATTTAATAAAACAAAAAGTTTCAATTTTCATGTGGACCAGTGGGCTGAGTGTGAATGTATGAAAATTTGAACGTTTCCCGCTAGGGGCGCTATACAATCATACATTTAATGACATTTTTTGACGAGGTCACTAGTGAGCGCGTTTGATGAAAACTCACACTCAGCCCTCTGAATGGTTTACTAAAAGTTGCCTCACTTTTCGTTCGCTTACTATCTATCAAGGCTTTATTGATCTATGCCTACATGAAATTCAATATTTCACTGAACATAAATATTGCTCTTGAATTTAATATTCCAAAAAACTTGAATTCCTTCGAAAGTTCGAATGCCTCTGAGAATAATGGAATAATAAATAAGCTTCTAACGATATTGAGCAATAACGTATCAATTGATGTGTCAACCGATAAAATATGGAACACTTTAGGTTATCTGTCGAATATATAGGATATAATATTAAAAAGACATGTTTAAAGACACATTGATATCGGGACACAGTGAATCTTTTTATTACCACCTTAATAATAGGTAAACTAAGCTAGAAAGTTGCCAAAAATATGACAACAAATTATAAAATTCCTTAACTGGAAACATAACCTCGCCCTGCTTTTGAGAGATCAATAAATTAGAAACGGAAAAGATCAATTATTAAAATTAACATCATCCATCAGAAATATATGTTACCATTTTCCCTCTACCAAATAAACATCGTTTAATATTGTAGGTTAAGGTAATTACCGGTAAAATACATAAACATTACACTAAATAGAATCTTGATGGTAAATTGCTTACCATTAAGTGAATGAAGTAAATGAGCATTTTCGATACCCGTTTCTCACGAAATTAGTATCTTTAAATTATTTTTAGTTACTTCAATAATTCTGTTTTAATTATTATAACACTCGTTTCTCTAGAAATGGTATCCTTATTTACATATTGTTCAGTTGCTTCAATTATTTGTCTTCATTCTATCTTAATTTTTAATTTTCATTGTTATAAGTTATGTGTGTATTTACAAAAAAAAACAAGTATTTAAGTATTTTTATATCCGTTGTCTAGTTACCCATACCTACAAGAATTGCTTAGTTTAGGACTAGAGGCGCAGTGTAAAATGTCGAAGGATATTCATTTATTTATCTTTTTAATACATTTGGGGCAGTGACCGAGTGGAATTTGGCAACCTCTTCACATTAAAGGACGCAGAGTCACTCCACTTGGACGTGGGTGTTTTAGGTCACTCACTCACACTCACGATCCATTGGACCCACCTTTGGCATAAATCGGGAACCGATCGAACTGATTGCGAGAATACACTAGCGGAATTGATTTACCGCGAATGAAAAAGGCAGTTCCGATACATTTAGTCTGTTGCTTTAAATACTGGATCATTTTGTCCCACCGTGAAACAATAAATTGGTCTTGTTTTTCAGGGAAAATTAAAAGCTTTAACAATATTTAAAAACAATTGCGTAAAGTTGCTAATTCTTTGTATCTGAACTCAATATGTTTTCGACTACAATACATATCACAATACTCATGATTTAACGTAACCCTGATGGCCAGTAATTACATGTTACAATCGTTTTTCTCGACCAGTAAAAATGTAATCTTTTTGTCCAGCTAATTGATATTATTTTGATGATGTTTTCTATAAAAATAACTTCAAGGCAACAAAATGTCCCGGGAGATAATTATTAATCAATAGGAACCCCTTTCCCTATAAAGGGAATAAATATAAAAATAGATTATAGCCTGACCAGGAACATAAAAACCCTGGCATAGAGGCGCGTCAATTGCATTTGATAGTGCAACACTGAGTACAGTCGTACCTGTGTTAAATTAATAGGCTAAAACTTTATGTATCAGGATTTAGGATTACGGGCTAATTTGATATTTTCATAAATTAACAAAAAAATATTATTATAGGTAACCTGGTTTAAATAAATTAAATGAAACCATCAATCGAGCTAGTAGGATTTATTTTATTATTCATCAATAATCAAATTCAGAACTTGAATATTCAACAGCAATGTCTGCTCATGAACGCTTCAAACTCGGTACTTCTATCCCAATTCCATAAAATTCAACACTTAGAAAGTGACAAAAAAAATTAAAATAGGTAGTTGAAACAAACCACAGCTAATTTTCATAGTAGACTGTACTATACGATAAACATGTCAGTCAATTTGACAACCTTTGTCGGAAACATTATTCAATGAAAATATTGTCCGAACCCTTAGTATTTCTCTTCGACAAATACTTTAACACATTGTGAACCACTTTTCTTTCACGATTCACAAAATTAATTGCGCACATTTAAAATAAAGTTTGTTTACACTTTGACAGCAATAGACTGACATGCAAGGTGACATGTCAATGAAGTTTTCAGTTACTGTTGCCATTAAAAGAAATTAGTACCATTAGTTTTCCGCAACATGGCGAGGGTTTTTATGTTCCTGGTCAGGCTATAACGATTTTACTACGTTACGTGTGCGAAAAGATTATCCAATAATAAACAAAGTAATTCATACATTTTTATGTGACGAAGAAATAACATCAGTAAAGTAGGATGGTACCTAGTAGGTACTACACAAGACACTTACACAATACATAACAGGGTATGGCTACGTAGTAGGTCTCTACTACGTAGCTATACCCAACCAAATACCTATAATACTTTTACATGAAATTACTATAACACTTTTAGTTATAGTAATTTCATGTATGCGTGTTTGTCTTGTTGGTTGTCCTAATAAATAAAATAAAAATAAATAATAATAAATAATAAACCTATGTTGACCCATTTACTACAAACGACACTGTTACCCTCAAAATATAAAAAAATTCACTGTGATTTCGTTCGATCGTTAAATTCATTCAAAACAACTCAAAATACTTGAAAAAAAATCAATTGTTGTCTGCTCAGTCTATAAACATTTAAAAGTTATATTTACAAAATTATTTTCAAGTTATACAGTGTGAGTCACGTTAAAGTGTACATATGAAAATAGATGAAACTAGACCTATTTTTATCGACAAAAAAGAGGTCGAAAAATTTTTGAGATTTTTTTAAATTTTTTATAGAATTTTTTATTTCCAATTACTTGTTGTAAAGAAAACGTAATAACTTTTAAACTAAGCGGTATATCCTGATAAAATAAAAACAGTAATAATGAAAAATAACAGGCGATACTAAACTAATACATAAAATACACAAAAAATGCCAACAAATAATAAAAAATGATACTTTTTGAAAAAAATCTGCTTAAAAATTCGTGTTTTTTTGGTTATTTGATAAATATCTCCAAAAAATGCCCCTATAACCGGTGGTTTTTATTACTTTCTATTATTCTCTATCGTATTATCTTTGTAAAACCAAAAATTGCATGTCTCTATCCCTATCACAACATTTGCTATGATCGTTTGAACAAAGGCCTGCCACAACATTATTCTCCGCTGCAGGTAGAGACAATTTTAATTTTAACTAAAATGCTTATTTTACTTCGAAATATTTTGTTTTTATTTGAAATCTAACTTGTCTTTATCAAAATTACAAATCTAGAGCCATTTTCAGTTTTGTTGTTAACGAAGCGTTGAATGGCGCGCCCGGAGAGGCTTAGTTCAAACGATCATTGCAAACGTTGTGATAGGGATAGAGACATGCGATTTTTGGTTTTACGAAGGTAATACGATAGAGAATAATACAAAGTAATAAAAACTACCGGTTATAGGGGCATTTTTTGGAGAAATTTATCAAATAACCAAAAAAACACGAATTTTTAAGCAGATTTTTTTCAAAAAGTATCATTTTTTATTATTTGTTGGCCTTTTTTGTGTATTTTATGTATTTTTTTAGTATCGCTTGTTATTTTGCATTATTACTGTTTTTATTTTATCAGGATGTACCGCTTAGTTTAAAAGTTATTACGTTTTCTTTACAATAAGTAATTGGAAGAAAAAAAATTCTATAAAAAAATAAAAAAAAATCTCAAAAATTTTTTGACCTCTTTTTTGTCGATAAAAATAGGTCTAGTTTCATCTATTTTCATATGTACACATTAACGTGACTCACACTGTAGATCCAAATGTGTTATTTCTACAACATAAAGTGAAATATCACCACTCTTTCCCCCAAAATGTTTGCTTATGGCGAAACAACTGTGTCAGTGATTTCACTAGAGTTTGGATATTGTAAAAGTTTGTCCGTTGTTTCAGAATGAGAGGGGCAAAAGCGGTTTTCCTCATTTTATTTTTCGGCCATCTTTCCGCTCTACCCGACACCATAAGAATAGGTAAGTATTGCAATAACTAAACCAAGAAGTTTTTTGGCACTGACGTTATTTTATGTGCGCATGATCAGTCTATAAAGTTATTGGGTTGGGACTATTTCACTTTAGCCCGCTTACAATTCGCGTTTGAATGCTTGGTTTAGAGCTTTAGACTGAAGGTGCATATTAAATTTATTATTGTCAACATGTATTGTCTGATGTTTTCATCCAACATTTAACATTCAACACAACTGTGTATTTTAAGAAGTCCCTGACATAAAACCCAATACGCCCTAACTGTCTCTAATACCTTTTAAAGTATCCTAGGCCTGTTCCCTACCTGTTAAAGTTAAACTAAGCAGTGGATACTATTTCAATATTCAATATTCGAATAATGACCCCAATACAATTTAACTGCGAACCAGGGCTCGATACCTTAACGATCTTTTGATGTTAATTTGATTAGTTATACACAGTCTGCTTAAATCAGTGCTTTAAATTTCAGAGAGAAGCTATTATTTGTCAATTTGAATTAATTGTATTTTATGAGGGTTCCTTATCGCGTGAATGTTAATAAAGAAAGATTAATTAACAGCTTAAGCCTAAGGGCAGTATTATTGAATAGATTTATCTAAATACTAGCGGCCGCCCGCGACTTCGTACGCGTGGACCTCGTTTTACTCCATTAGGGGTGGAGTTTCGTAAAATCCGCTCTTAGCATCTATAGCGCATACATTTTAAATTTCAACTCTCTTACTTTAAACACATAGGACTTTTATAATATAAACTTCCAACCCTCCTTTTATCTCCTTAGCCCCCGTAGTTGATTTCTAATGATACATTTTCAGTATATGTACCACCACCACCACCACCATTTCAGCCATAGGACGTCCACTGCTGAACATAGGCCTCCCCCAATGCTTTCCATGTTGATCGATTGGAAGCGGCCTGCGTCCAGCGCTTCCCTGCTACCTTTACGATGTCGTCGGTCCACCTTGTAGGTGGAAGTCCCACGCTACGTTTTCCGGTACGCGGCCTCCATTCTGCCCCATCGGCCATTAGTTCTGCGTACTATGTGCCCTGCCCATTGTCACTTCAGCTTGCTAATCCGTCGGGCTATGTCAGCGACTTTGGTTCGTTTAAGGATCTCCTCATTTCTGATTCGATCTCGCAAAGAAACACCAAGCATAGCCCTCTCCATAGCACGCTGTGCAACTGAGCTTCTGTATAAGGCCTATAGTGAGAGGCCACGTTTCCGAGCCATAAGTTATCACTGGTAACACACATTGGTTATACACTCTAGTCTTCAGGCATTGAGGTATTTTGGACGAAAAGATGTTGCGTAGTTTCCCGAACGCTGCCCAGCCGAGTTGGATTCGACGTTAACACTTTGATTTGCTCGTTTAAACACAGTGAATGATTCAAATAGGTACATACAGTAAATGGTTGAATTACATAAAATATCTTTATTTATTAAATTTTCAATATTATTTACGAACAGCGCTATTCATAGTACATGTAATATTTAGTTACTAATTTACTAATGATGTCGATAGATGGCGTTTGACAGCTTTGCCTTCATGAATATTTACGTACCTCAAAAATTTTTGTCAGGCGCAAGAAGATTTTAACCAATGACGATAGATGGCGCTTTTCCACGTCTTATGAAAATCCCAAATATTTTACGGGACCCTATTTTTTTCCAAAATAAAATTTAGCCTATGTTACTCGTGAGTTATGTAGCTTTCGAATGGTGAAAGAATTTTTAAAATCGGTCCAGTAGTTTTTGAGCCTATCCATTACAACTAAACAAACAAACAAACAAACAAACAAACAAACAAAGTTTTCCTCTTTATAATATTAGTGTAGATGTTTTACAATCGACCGAGATTTATTTACGCTAATATTTCAGTACTTAACAAATATTTTAACGCCAAAATCGATCCTACTCGTAACATATCTAATAACTGTTTCAAATTAATCAACCGTATTAATTACATTCGATGATCAGACAATTTTAATGAAATTCAACCGCATTGGTAAAAATTTTTAAAGCGTCCACGCTTTGAAACCGACCTTTACTAATATTTTTTCAACTTCAATCTGGCTTTAAAAAACCAGACGACAATTTGTACCTACGCCTATTGACTCAGACACCAAATAAAACAAGTGCTAGTGATTTATTTCATTTCATGATCATGATGATGATGATGATGATAGAAGACAGAAATGAACGGGAAATGAGTGATCTGATTAAAATCACTTGCACTCACCCAGGATTGATACGTCTGAACACAAAGTGAAATAAAAAGGACCAATTCAAGGTTGTTTGACTTTGGTGTTATTCATTTGACTGAGTATTTGCTCTTTGATATCACATTTACCGATAGGAACCTCTTCAGAAAATTCAATATTGTGTAGGATGTATGCGACCTAGCTTTACTTTAGGGTCAATTGACTCACAAGCTTCCATTGTAGGTGGGTTATTTCATCCTGAAGATGACAAACAAGAGGTGGCCTTCCGTTATGCGGTTGAGAGGGTGAATGCCGACCGGGCAGTGCTGCCCAGGGCCAAATTGCTAGCCCAAGTGGAAACCATATCGCCGCAAGACAGCTTCCATGCTTCCAAAAGAGGTTTGTACGACTGTTTTATGACGAGTGTCAGGAATAGGATTCAGGCGACTTGATTTTTGCCTTGTGTTTGTTATGTTTAGGCAATATTCAGTGTACCTACCATGAGTTTACGTTAGGTGTGCTCGCTAGCGAGTACGTCAATAATCTCTATGAAGATTTTGTTTCTTGAAAGTAGCCACTAGGGGCGCTGCACAATATGTCATACAATTAATGTCATTTTTTTACGCAGTCGCTAGCGAGCACACCCAACGTAAACTCATGGTAAGCGCACAGTAGGCGTAATATTCAGGGTCTGAAATAAAGTACCTAAATGTGAACGTTCGCCTACTTGAACGTTATAGTGGGTATTATTTTGAGCGTTTATCCACTCCAGAGACATTTAAATAATATTTTTTGCACTACTACATTTTTTTCAACTAAAACAGAACTCTGATTGAATATTTTAAAATTTTACGTATAATTTATAATCATTAACATAACATCCTAAAATAATATGTGCGGGTCTTACGACTTAACACAATGAAAACCAATTTTCAGATATCAAATAAATTCCAAATCAGTTACTTTTATAATAATTGTCATGTGATTTGTAAAATACTATCTATCTGTGTACATCAGTGTGCCACCTCCTACGGAGTGGAGTCGCAGCCATATTTGGCCCGCAATCAGCGCCAGCTGCTGCTCACGTCCAGTCCATCTGCGACACCATGGAACTGCCCCACTTGGAGACCAGGTGGGACTACAGGACGAGGAGAGAATCTTGTCTGGTCAACCTCTATCCACACCCTGCAGCGTTAAGTCGGGTGAGTTTGTTAGTAATAGTCTTAATTTAAAACTGTCGCCATGATTAGCTAACTCAGAGATACATGTACTCATTGAATTGGTCTATCAAAGAAAGATGCGACAAAACGCCGCGCTGAGTCAGAATTCAAAGAAGAAAAGATGACACAATATTTCAAAGGAATAGTGAAATATGTACTGTATATTACGAGTAGGTATATTAGCCTTGTAGGTTCAAGTTTGCAATTTACCAAAATGGAGACAAGGTCGTTCTACGAATAGTACAATATGTATGCCCCACTTCAGATACCAGATGGGCTAACCACGCCGGGAATCCGGCTTGTCAACCTTTATCCGTATCCCGCCCAGCTCAGCACACTGACAGCTGTTGTGTCTGCTGAATGCCTAAATAGAAATGTTACGTTGAGCTAGGTTCCAAAGCATAAACTTAATATATCAAAGCAAATGTAGTACGAAATTGGAGTTGGAAGTTTTCTCGCCTCAAGATTAGACTAGCTCTTTGATATACAAAGTCTATTCTTATGTAAGCGTAAGTTACAGCTCAGCAAAAAAAATAGTTGTGAGTCAAATTGTAATTATTTAATATTCGTTTAACAACAGAGAGACTAATACTGGGACAGATGAAGCTAAATGATCCTATAAATAGGTTATTTTCATTATGATCACGCATGACTTCTCCGAATGTTAACATCCATTCGAACCTTACTTTTTACGATAAACATCGTAAAATCTGTGTTATAGGCCATATCCCTCACCTATATTGTTACATGAAGGCTCATACAATAATGTTTTATAGGCCTACGTGGACCTCGTAAGAGCATGGGGATGGAAATCGTTTACCATAGTTTACGAGAACAGCGACGGTTTGGTTCGGCTTCAGGAGCTACTCAAAGCCCACGGGCCTTCCGAATTACCTGTGGCTGTCAGGCAGTTGCCGGATTCACATGATTACAGGTCTGAACGCTCACATTTCACAACCTCAAAACCAACCTTATTCCATACCCACTAAGGTGAAATTTTCCTCGCAGGCCACTTCTGAAACAAATAAAAAATTCAGCGGAATCACATATTGTGCTCGATTGCGCGACGGAAAGGATCAGAGACGTTCTCCAGCAAGCGCAACAGATTGGTATGATGTCCGATTACCATAGCTACCTTATCACCTCCCTGGTAAGTTGATGCTATCACAAATGTCGTTTGTGTAAATTATACTATAACCTTGATGAAATCTGGCAAGGACAAAGTAATCTTGGTCGCCCCGTCTATTGTCGTAAGACGAATGGCTACCCTCTTACAAAAATAATTATTTTGCTCCATCTGGCTCCGTACCTCACAAGGGTGCTGTTTATACAACATGATATTATACAAGACGACCTAACCCTAAATTACGCGCTCGCTTTAATATAGAAAATGATATTAGCATTTGATATTTGGGCAGGATCTTCACAGTGTAGACTTGGAGGAGTTCAAATACGGCGGCACGAATATAACCGCGTTGAGATTACTCGATCCTGAGCGAGCTGACGTTCAAAGAGTAATACGGGACTGGGTTTATGACGAGGCTAGGAAGGGCCGTAAACTACAACTGGGACACACTTCAGCCAAGGTACTTTTAATTACAAACAAATGACGCTCTTAGAACGTAACTTACTAGAACATTACTTGCCCGTTTAATTTACTAACGCTGTTGTTTTATGTTTGCTTGCAGGAAAATATGACATTTATAAAGGTTAGTTTTGCGATGTAGTGGTACTGTATTCGCTTTCTTCAGTAGCTTTAGCGTGAATGTGCTGTGATTAAATTTGCGTCGTTCGTAGAAATGTTCTGTATTTTATCTTTTGTCTCCCAACAGACAGAAACGGCTCTCATGTATGATGCAGTACATTTGTTCGCGAAGGCTCTGCACGATCTCGATACGTCGCAACAAATTGATGTGAGACCCCTCTCGTGCGAGGCTGAAGACACGTGGCCCCATGGGTATAGTCTCATCAATTACATGAAAATCGTAAGTAGAACTTTCACAAAGTCGTGTATCATAGTCCCAGGGGACGAATATTATCACGTAACATGTATTTTGACACAAAAAGGGATTACATCTAAACGTAAATAGGAATAAACTTTACCGCTGAATTTTAATGAATGGAAGTTCAGCAGATATTTTGTGGCTCATTGTGGTTTCATTGGTATATGTAAACAATAATACTAACAAATTACTGATTCAATGCTATGTATGTTTAAAATGTAACGGGTTCATTGATTACATTTCAGTATCAGGTATTGATATAGGGAATAAATTGTCAGCATTATCAACAGAATTAATAGTGAAATTATGTTAAACTAGCTTTCCGCCCGCGGCTTCGCCCGCGTGGAATTTTGTCTGTCACAGAAAAACTTTATCGCGCGCGTCCCTGTTTCAAAAACCGGGATAAAAACTATCCTATGTTCTTTCCCGGGACTCAAACTATCTCTATGCCTAATTTCATCAAAATCGGTTGCGAGGTTTAAGCGGGAAAGCGTAACAGACAGACAGACAGACAGACAGACAGACAGACAGACAGAGTTACTTTCGCATTTATAATATTAGTTGGGATTGTCGTTAATAAAGACGAGAAATTCGCTTAAATTAGCGAAGTTACATTTGCGTTGTTTAATGCAGCAGGATTAACTGCAGGAACATGAGTGAGCTGTCGGATTAACAGTTACGGCTGTTACGAACTTAAAGCCTTTGTATTCCTCGTCTCCTACATTACTGCTAATGTTCCCTGAATTAATTTTCCTGCGTGTTACAAAACACGATGAGTTAAGCGTCGCGCATTGCTTACTTAGTTTGCAAACTCCAAATACCTCACTCGTCTCCTTTATTTCTACGAACAGGTGGAAATGAAAGGCTTAACTGGAGTTATAAAGTTCGACCACCAAGGGTTCAGAAGCGACTTCACTTTGGATATAATTGAACTGACAAGGGACGGTCTACAGAAAGCAGGCACTTGGAACTCATCAGAAGGCGTGAACTACACAAGGTCGTACGGAGAAAATCAGAAACAAATAGTGGAGATACTGCAGAATAAGACCCTTATCGTAACGACAATTTTGGTGAGCTATAAACTACTTCCAAGTGTATCTACATTAATCCTCCGGAAACATTTTACTGCTCTCTTGCGCCTCACAAAGGCAAAATTAGCGTATCTTACATGAAGAAACGAATATACATATGAGTGTTTTGTGCAAGTAGGGGATTTATGTAGTCTAGCTTACATTAAATATATATTTCCATGGAGAATAATGTTCACACGGTAGCTTAACATCACGGGTACATACTTAGTCTTTAATACAGAATTAACTTGTGTAGGTTTAGCCTAACACCTTTTTAACTTATGTAAATCTGTATCGGTAATTCCCTAGAGTGCGCCGTACTGTATGAGAAAAGAGGCGAGCGAGAAGCTGACTGGAAACGCACAGTTCGAGGGCTACGCCATTGATCTCATTCACGAGATATCTAAAATTCTGGGATTCAATTATACATTCAAGTTGGCGCCTGACGGTCGATACGGCTCCTACAACCGAGAGACCAAAGAGTGGGACGGCATGATAAGGGAGCTGTTGGAACAAAGGGCCGATGTTGCTATCGCTGACCTCACCATCACTTACGACAGGTAAATATTCTAACTTTTGACAATATCCACTCTAGTTTAACTGTCGTTACATAGTAGGTAGCATCATTCTAAAATGTAGAATTATTTTTTAACAGAAATTTAGATCACATAACGTCTTTTATAATCAACGATGTTGATGACATTGCTTACAATGAGACACAAGAAATTGAAATAATGTTGATGTCGAATTAACTATATAATATCCGATTAAATTGCTGAAAATATTGCCTAGTTTGAATATCGCGAAGCATTTTTCATTCATTCAGCTTCAGTGTCAAAGACTAATGAATTTAGAAAATAAATTTTATAACTTCAATTTCAACTCGAATGTAACGGAGATTCGAAAAAAAGGAAGAGAAAAAAATATTTTGCACACATGAAGGCTTACAATTCAGCTATTTGAACCAAAATGTTTGCGGGTTGCGACCATTTTACTTATGAAATATTTTTGCCTTTCCGCAACTCGTAACCAAAGCTTTTGAAAATCGTTTTTCAAGCATTTAACATTCTGAGTGATACTAGAAAAGGTACTACGCTTAAAGCCATAAACATTTTCCTCGAAAAGGTAAATTGAAACACAATAGACGGTTAGACAACCAAAACAAAAAGGGATCAGAGTGACGGAATCGTTTTTGTTTTGCAATTCATTTTTGTATTCGTCCAGCCCACAAAATTTGGAAGCCATCATTGTTAACTGCGAAATTATGTAATTAACTTCCCCTAAATTCCGCAACAGGGAGCAAGTGGTCGATTTCACGATGCCCTTCATGAATCTTGGCATCTCGGTGCTGTACCGCAAGCCTATTAAGCAACCGCCGAACTTGTTCTCGTTTCTCTCGCCCCTCTCGCTCGACGTTTGGATCTACATGGCTACTGCTTACTTGGGAGTCTCCGTTTTGCTTTTCATACTGGCCAGGTTAGTGAGTGTTCTTGTGACTCGAAAGCGTGATATTCTTACTGAAGTATCTTGTGAAATCTTTACTCAGACTGATAACTTTTTGATAAATGATGTTAGTTTTAATTGGAAATGGACAAAAAAGTTAAGTTTATGAATGAAGTAAGATGTCTTTAATTCAATAGTGTAGTTTTAGAAATATTACTCGCTTTCGAGAATTGCAAAAACTTATTGATAACTACTGTTTTAAAACTAAAAACATTTATGTATTTCTTAACTATACAGGAGTGTATTAATTCAACAGTTGCATATTTATTCAATTATTAGTTTAAATCTAAAATGTTAAGTACCAAAGTACCAAATATAAGATTAACCATTCTAGAATGAATAAGTATGCAATTACTGAAACAGCAATAGTTTTAATCACCGTACTCTAACCATTTTAGAAGCAATACACATTAATCCACTAGGTTTACTCCGTACGAGTGGCATCAAACACACTCACCCGAAGGCGAGAAATTGGAAAACATTTTCTCTCTCGCCAACTGTTTATGGTTTGCCATCGGATCTCTCATGCAGCAGAGCTGTGATTTCTTGCCCAAGTAAGAAAAGTTATAAGACCCCTATTATGGAAGCTTTATTGAAAATGCTCGTTTTCAATTTGGCTTCTCTAGTGACCTCAGCGAAGTTTACATGAGGAGCTATTTCGTTCCAAGGGGTTCAGCGAATCGTCCATCAGCGTAACCGGCGGCGAATTCCGTTGCAAACTAGCCTTTTGTGGTGCAACTTCCATCCCAAATCGAATTACCATCCCGAATCCCGCTACCTGATAAGGTTATTCGTCAACTTATATTACGTTGCTTAAGTTTCCGCAGGCATCTTTTGATGTCGTAACTCTAAAAAGTTTCGTCTTTGACACAAAGTGAGCACGAAATTGGATCTTAGCCTTCCTGCCGGATCAGATCTGTCGATTGAGGTCGTGGTTTATTCAAATTGTCTTCATTCGCACTCGGTTCGCTGCTGGATGGTTCTGAGTAGTAGTCATTAAATGACGGGGCGTATTTGGGCGCAGGTTCAGTCCGTACGAGTGGGACACCCCAAGGAACTGTCTAGACGAGCCGCCGATGCTGGAGAATCAGTTCACTCTGTTGAACTCGCTGTGGTTCACTATCGGATCCTTGATGCAGCAAGGTTCGGATATCGCACCGAAGTAAGTTCCACTCGCTAAACTCCAACCGATGGCTACAATTCCAACGCGGTAATAATTCGGTTCGGCCAAACGAAACTCGACTAATTGAATCTGCGACAGAAGTGTAATTGAAGGAACGGATTTGCAAATCTGTTTAGTCCATCCACGGAGCGGAAATGTAGCTTTCAGTTGCAGTCGGTGAAGAACTCCCTTTACTAATTAGTTTCAAAGCGACCACAGCCCTTTGTGAATTTCAAGCATCGGTAGTCGCCTAGAGTGGCCAATTTAAATAGAGACGTGTCGGAAATTTAAACTAGCTTTGTTTCCCACTATAGTTCGCTAAACACTTTGTAATTTAGTTGCTAATTAAACAACTGGCTCGGGTAATGTTTCCAATAATTATTGCACCGTTAAGACTTCGTGCTTGTGTAGTATCCATAGCTTGCTGCATCAAAGTTTGAATATTATTAGTATAGTGTTTAATATCGATATTGGTTTTGCATTACACAACTCGTACAGTTTTGTATGTTTTTACTGTAAGCATAATTAGTACAAATTAGGCTCAACACCGATTGGTTTTTATAGGAACGATATTTTTACGCAACGAGTCTGCAAAACTTATTCATACTAGGCCTAGTATTATTTTTATCTCACGAGGTATCATAAATGATAATTTATTAGAAGGTACTTCATTAAAACACAGATTCTATTATCTTCTTAATTAAATCTAAGTATTTCAGACTATAATTTAACAAACAATTCGAATAATAATAGACTTCTAGTTGAATGATCAAACGAACTTACCAAGTGAAGTTCGATCTAAATTATCCTGTTTTCGCCGAAGAGATTTATTTTACCATGTAGTACCCCTGTACGACAACCCAATCCGCACACAATATTCAGCGTAGTAGTATTAAAAAACAAAAGAGCGGGCAACCCCACCCCTACCACGCTGTGGGCTCGGTGTCCGAGCGGTCTCATTAAGAATGGCTACTGGGTAACATCTCGCATTACCTCGGAGCAAAAAAATGGCTACTGGTTAACATCGCGCGTTAACTTGGAGCTAAAAATGGGTCAAAGTTACGCGTCGTGTCACAACGCTTATAATAAAAATGTACGAGCACTTGCACAAAATAGTTGTTACAACCAACCTTTTGTTGGGTCTAATTCTCGTCACTACACTGCACAACTTAAAATAATTACGTTTTTTGTCGGTAAAAACGTCCTGGTGACGTCACTTAAGCATTTTTCTTATACTGCGTGCGGTCGTTGCGCGTGCGCACAAAGGAATGAGACCGCTCGGACACCGAGCCCACAGCGTGGTAGGGGTGGGGTTGCCCGCTCTTTTGTTTTTTAATACTACTACGCTGAATATTGTGTGCGGATTGGGTTGTCGTACAGGGGTACTACATGGTAAAATAAATCTCGGAGGCGAAAGCAGGATAATTAATATTTTACATCTAAGCTTAACGTGTACATTAACGTCTATTATTAATAAACCAGGGCTGTTTCAACAAGAATGGTAGCTGGAATGTGGTGGTTTTTCACCCTGATAATGATCTCGTCGTACACCGCCAACTTGGCGGCGTTCCTCACAGTCGAGAGAATGGACTCCCCCATCGAAAGCGCGGAGGACCTGGCCAAACAAACCAAGATCAAATACGGCGCTCTGAAAGGGGGCTCCACGGCTGCTTTCTTCAGGGTGAGTGCACTCATTAATATTCCAAGGATCGCGATGTTAATGCGCCCACTTTTGTTCTTTATAAACGTCTCGGTGAATTAATTAGCTAAGATAATATTTGGAACAATCAACCGCTGCGCGATCTTTCGCGAAAATGTACACGCACTTTGTCAATTTGGTAAGGTTTCTCGTATATCAGAAAATATATTGTATTTCCTACGTTCTCTCAAGGTTATAAATATGAGAAAAGATTTATTTCCTGTATCTTTCAAAGTAATGAAAATAGATTTCACGGATCCCGCAACTATATTATCGGAAAAGACGAAAATATTTTCATCTGCGAAGACCTGCTATTAGTTCCATGAGACATTTCTTATTTCTCACTATATCAGCGTAAGTCGATTCCCGCCTTTATAGGTTTTCTACTAAATCAAGTGGTCATTTTTCGGGTAATCGGAAGTAAGCTGTCTATGAGATTTGTCACTGCGATAGACAGGGACGAGAAGGCACTACTATTCCGTAATCCCGATGTGCTTATTTTTATTATGGACCCTAAAATATCTTTGTTTCCCCGCTATTCAATTTCACATTGATGTGTCTTTTGTTGTTGTATATTTATTGGCTGTTTTATTTCTTTTTCGTTGGAATGGGTGAATGCTATCGTACGTGATGAAGAATATTAGGTATTGATGAAAAAGTAATATTGCTTTTTGCCAAGTCATTGAACTGTAATGAAAATACAGCCTTATTGAAAAGAAAACTTCTCATAATTTATGTTAGTCTACGTGAGTAGAAACCAAACACGAAACTTTGAGATTAAAAGTTTACCATTATTTGATTTAGGACTCAAACTTCTCTACATACCAACGCATGTGGTCTTTCATGGAGTCGGCCCGGCCATCCGTTTTCACCAGCAGTAACAAGGAAGGAGAAGAAAGAGTGATGAGAGGAAAGGGATCCTACGCATACCTGATGGAGTCTACAACAATAGAGTACGTGGTGGAAAGGAACTGCGACCTGACGCAAGTTGGTGGTATGCTCGACTCAAAGGGATATGGAATCGCCATGCCCCCAAGTAAGAAAAAATATACGGATCAGTTCTTTGTTTAGTCTACTTCTTTTAGCTAAATATTTTTCCAGGTTTTTACGGCTGCTTTCAAAAGAATTCCGTTCATTTTAAATACATTATACCCGTATCTGAGTTTCTAAGGCCGCTTCAATGTGAAAAAAATGTTTTCCTTGTTTTAGATTCACCCTACCGCACGGCTATAAGTGGAGCAGTTTTAAAATTGCAAGAAGAAGGAAAATTGCACATCCTGAAGACGAAATGGTGGAAAGAAAAGCGTGGTGGAGGGTCTTGTAGAGTAAGCGAAATATTCTCGTCAGCATTACATCACCCCACTCCAAAATATATTGAATTTGGGATGAGATACGAAATATTTACCATAAAGTAAAATATTGTTATGGGTTTTTGAACGTTTTCCACAACCGATGAAAGCTCAAACAATCGAAAACGTGATACCATTTAGATCGTAGATAGCTCGGAGCGAAATTCTGAAATAAGTGGAAATTTTAGCTGATACCTACTCCGCAAAAGTCCGGTCGGATCAAAGATCACAAAAATAATAGCTTTGTCCTTTCTATTTTATATCAGATCATCAAAACAAACGCTAAAGGGTTTAGGGGAACAATCGAGAATCAGTTTGAGGATCTTTGAATAGGCCTATTTATGCGCTGAGCAGTTTTGAAAGGGTACAATCACGGTTCGCGATGTTATGTCATATTCGGTAAATTGGCTCCGATTTACCGTTATGACTGTTGTGGAACTACTTACCGTTGTACGTCCCTTTTTTCATATTTTATCACAATATTTTCATTCGAATTTTACTTTTAATAAAAGTGAACATATTATTTTATTTTTAAGGCGTTCAAAGGCTTTATACTTTATACTTGTGAGAAGTTGTCAAAACTTGTCAATTAGTAAATGTTCGAAAAGGACGAAACATCTGGGCGGCGTCTTCGTAATGCTGATAGGTGTCACATTCATCATCGCTCTCCACTATTATTACCACTACATTTTGAACTTTATTGTCATTCCATACGGCTTTAAATCGTGGTATGTTCGACCAGGACGATACATCGAAGTCTTCATCGACGGCCAACGAGCTTGGGCTGGGCAACGTTGGCGGCGTTTTCGTGGTGCTGATGGGTGGCATGGGCGTCGCGTGCGTCATCGCCGTCTGCGAGTTCGTGTGGAAGTCTCGCAAAGTTGCTGTGGATGAACGGGTGAGTTCTTGCAATGTGGAACAGGGCTTGATGGCGGTATTTACACATTTTTTTCCATAAACTTTCGGTTGTACCTATATGGGGTCAAAATAACGTAAGACGAAAAAAGATACTAGAGGCAACTATAAAACTTCCTCCTTATTTTAAGTAACTCTAAAAATAAATGTCAGCATCCACTGGATGAAAAAAGCGGGAGATATAACGCAGTGAACTACCGAACTTTAAAATTTTGATTGATACAATAATATCAAGTTAAATAAATATCCCGATTAGTTCAATCATTGTATTAATTTTTAAAAAGCTACATGTTTATTTGTCATTTTATAATTGATCATGAAACATTGTATTTTATTATGAGACATCGCTTTAAATTTTAAACTGTCTTAAATTCATTTCGCCCACCCATTTTTCTAGACTAGAATTTTCGTAATTTTCAAGATTAAATCTTAGTAAATAGTCCAAAGGGACTACTCATACTTAATTCATTGAGGATTTTTACGAGAACTGCTTCGATGGACTTGAATCTCAATTATTCAGCACTCAGTGATCCTAGCACGAAATTGCACTGCTTCGCAAACTGATGCAATATTAAGTCGAGAAAAATGTCTAGTTTGCAGCGATACGGCTCGCCGAAATTCGAAATGTTTGAAAGCATCTGTTTCTTTATCCCGTGCGGGTTTCCATTGATTGCTTTGACTGTATCCCAGAACTTCCTTTGCGTCAATAGGATCGTAATTTTCATCAATCCCAGAACACCGTTAGCAATGAATAAGTAAAAGATTGGCAGCATCCGCTGGTACATCTAGACGGCGTGGGATGAGCGTGGGCGAATTGTCCTGGGGGCGAATGTTCTCGATGTTTTTGATGACAAATATATCGCGGGAATAAAATGCTTAGTCATAGGCAAATTCGTAATCGCTTTAGGTATAAAAACAGTTCGTCTTCATAAAATTTAAAATCACAGTTTTAACCAATAATACTTCGACTGTGATTTGATGTTAAAAGGTGATTTCACTAACATTAATAGAAACGAAACAGTTTTTAATTTGGTGTTTAATTTTTAATAACTTTAGTCAAATGTAACTCGTCGTCTATTTACCTATATCTAAACGTTGTATTAAAAGGACAATTCTAGCTACATTTCTGTTGCTAGATGTTCCTTTAATGCCCCCCACGTTCCGATAGTCGTAATAATAACGTTTAATACTACGTTCCTACTCCTCGGGATCATCCGATACTAATGTTATTCGGAAGTATTAGCTCTGAACATAATGTTCAATTGTATGGGTAGATAACGGGATTGGGTTTCAAGATATTTACTTGGTTATTGGTGGTTATTGGTACAACATTCACGTATTACAAAAATAAGAAGAATTATTTACATAACTATAACTATATACTATTAACAAAACGACACTAAAGTGCCAAAACCACGGGTCAAAACAAAATTTAATGAAGCGGTTGTATAATATGAAACTTATTCTGCTAAGTAACAGCTGTCTGGAAGTCAAACAAGGTCACGTTTAACATTCAGGACTTGTCTCATCGAATCCCGCTTTAATGAAGTGTTATAAGAATTTTGATTGCAAAACACTGGTACTAAAAATGAAACTATACCTAAGTGTAAGGTTCAATTTACAGTTTCTATTTTTGCATTTAAAACTACTTACTTTTACAGGTAACGTTTTAAAGCTTTTTCTGGTACCTAAAATAAATAGACGACTTCTGTCGTCGGCTTGAACAAATGAAACTTAATTGTAACATACTTTTATCTAATTCAAAGGTTTTAATTAAAAGCAATTAGTCAAAGGTTACCCTTGGAGGTGACACTTTTGCAGAAGGTTAATTGAATCCTTACAAACGTACCTACGAATTAACTTTCTTAATTATTTGTTCGGGCTTAAAATAACCGTGTAAGTATTACAAGTACACACATAGTCAACTTGTATAGCGCAAAATTCAAACAAGTATTTGGAATAGGCCTTTGACCAGCAGTAACGTGTTTCGGCTGAAACGTACAAATGAACAATTTGGAATTGTATTTCAAGAATTAATTGCCTACGAATGGTGCCTACGAATTTAAAGCAAACTCGTAATCGTAACCAAATACACCTGACAATTAATATTTAATTCTTCCAATTACTTCTGAGTTTCAGAGAAATGTTAATTCACAATCCATTTGGCATTGTAATTGTAAAGGTATTCGGATTATTGTTTCACTCCAATCCAACTTCAGTGTTTTTCTTTGTATTGTACAAACGCCAGCAGGTCAACCTACCTATAATTATGTATAATGACTTTCCACACTGGATTTTGAATTTTTCGTCTTTGTTATAAAGTGAAAAATCAATTGTGGAAAATGATTTTATTTTATGTTGGCGTCCGTAGGTATTTTGTTTCGATTGTGTTATTTAAATTGATTTTTCGTTTGTTCTAGGTTTACTTTTGAAATAGGTAACAATTTTGTTTTTTCGTAGATCACTGTGTGAGTAGGAATTTCTCTCTTTTAGGATCTATAATGCTACCACAAAACACTATAGTCGATTGAGTGAAAACGATACACAAAGAAGGTCCGGTTACTTAGTCTTCATCTATCGAATTTATGCCCACTTTTCGTTTAGATTACAGGTGCTTATTTCTTAAACTAGTACCTAATTAAAATAAAAAAAATGTAATCCCTTTATTCCAAGACGAAATTGGAGCTATTTAATTGACAGGCAATTTAACTGAACCTTCTTTTCTCTGAGCTTCACTTTGGCCATGACACTGGTAAACTCACCCTATCACTTTAGTGAAATGTGTCTTGCTAGTCTTTACACCTTTTGGTAGATGAAAGTAGCATTTAAAAATAGCTCGTATTAAAATGATTTTCTTTTTCTGCTGCAAATGGATTCGATCACAGAAGGAAGAGGTAAAGTTTAATTTACATTGTTACATTTTTGGTTTGATTTGTAATGTTTCGTATTTATCGAAGTCGAGACTCGATTCGAACTCATTAATTAGATACAAGAACTTGAAGTTTGTGCGTAGCGGAATTGGAAATTGAGAAACACTTTAGCCTAAAATAATAAAGTAATAAGTGCCCACACATTTCGATCCCTTATTACCTAGTTGGAACTTCCAATTTCAAATCCCAAACATTAACCGTTTCACCTAGATAGTCTTTTGTTGTAAACCGTTAACACGTGCCAGCTAACGAGGCACTAAACAACGTTTACAACCCGTATCGGGCATAGCACGAGCTGTTAACACAACGACCAACAGCGTTTTCCGATTCCAGGCGTCTCTATGTTCTGAAATGGCTTCAGAGCTGCGTTCTGCTTTGAAATGTCCCAGTGGCGCTGGCAGCGGCGGGACACCGGGCAACCAGCGGGACGGGACGGGCTCCCCGTACCTGCACTACGGGTTTAGCACCAAGAGTCAGCTTCACTAGCGCCCGGACCCCGCCTCCTCGCCCCCCAGCGATGTGTAGGCATAGACAACAATGAGCTAGTGAACTAACCAGTGAGCTAGTGAACTTACCAGTGAGCTAGTGGACTAACCAGTGAGCTAGTGAACCTACCACTCTCAACTTTGTGACAAGTGAAAATGGTGAATGTAAATAAATCTCATATCTCATAGGGCTAACGTTGTTGTGAGTTAATTATTAATTTAGAACTGTAAATAGTCACGTCTCTGTAAGTGTCGGATTAACAGTATTATTTACATGCCAAATTGATAACTATGTGCCAATGATCTCATAGGTAATATGAGCTGTTTTGGTTTAAAATTTAAGAGTAAAATAAACAGTAGTTGATGTTTTATATCTATAAATCTATTAGAGTATAAAAACATTTCATATAACGTTTAAAGTTGGATAGACGTAATACCTATTTGACAGTAAATTTCCAGAATTTTATGGTAACGTTACACAATTTATAAAAATAAATACATAACAAAGTATTATTTAGGTGTTTATACCCTACACATGACTGATTTTGTTTTGTTATTATTATTTTTGCCTTCTGGCATATTTATATTGTAATTGTATAAAAGCTTATGATAAAGCTATTGTAAATAAATCTTTCCAACATACAGAATGTACTGCCACCCTAATTATTAAGTTATTGTTTATAAAACTTGCATTTGCGATCATTTTTATGTAAGACATGTAAACTACGACCTAAATACGTTTATTATCAAAACGAGTGCCAATATCAGAAAAACTTTAAATAAGATTTCAAATAGAAATCGAGCACGAAGAACTCAATAATCGAATAATCGATAAAATTGTATGCCAAATAAAATCGACCTCAATTCTGTATTATATTTTGTAAGTTTACATTTTGAAGCTGAATTTAAATTAATAAATTGTTTTAATATTACTTTTAATTTATTTACTACCTTTCCCATTTTTAAATGAAGAAAAATAAGATGACTAAAAATTTTGCGCGATATTGCCTACATAAATCAGGTGTTTTTTTATAAAATAATGATTCATTTGATCAAGTAATTTTCTGCTGACAACAAGTTAAGTGGACATCCTTGTTAGTTTCAATACGTACGAATTTGCAACAGAATTGCTAATGTACTGACGCTGTTCATATAAACGAGACCTCGCTACCC